TAGTTCAACCATATCAAGAAGAGTTGTGCAATCATTACTACCATCAATTTTAGGACATTTTCTTCTTCTTTGTACTCATTGTAGTTAACTCCCCTTTCCAGCTTCTTTTTTATAATCAAGACCATAATTTCCATCTACCGTTCTTTCCTCACTGTTTCCAAATTTTGCATTCCAATACTCAACAATTATTTTGATTGCATGTTTGATCAATTTCAGACTGAAGAGGTTGGTAGAATTCTTCAATTTTTGCAATACTAGCTTTATACATTAGCTATATTAAGTATAATATATGCTATATACTATATATCTCATTAGGGTGTATAATATTCACTGAGCAAGAGTGAGAGCATGCAAATCACGTATGTGGAGTACAAGAAAGCACGGTCTTTGAAGTTAGAGAGTCTGGATTCAGACATTAAATCTACCAGTCACTGGGCCTCAGGACCTTGAGCTTTAACGAATAGGTTGTTTGCAGAGTGTCAGGTATGTAGTCCGACTATTGTGTTTATGTCTGTTTTTCTCAAGACAATCCTTAAATATGAAGTCTTCCATTTCATGACTTATTCTGTGTCCTATGAAATCCTTCTAATTCCTCCTAGGTGGGTCTCCATGCGTGTGTACACCTGAACTGTGACTTCAGTGACACACGTCTTAACCTCAATGTCGTTCTTGGCTAAAAGGTAGAATTCTTACTGTGTTTTATGGGATGGAGTATTCACTCTGTGAACTTTGACTGTGTGTAAATATACTTGGACTCTGTCCTGCAATCAAATTTCAGTCTTTTTCGCTAACTGTGCTCTCTTATCTCTATTTTCAACTCTTCCACTTGAGCAGCAGTGGGTTTTTAGTGAGTTAGACCCAGTCTATCCATGTATGTGAATGAGCTCTTTTCTTATCTACTCATTGGACTTGGCTGTGTGGTGATCTCAGTTCAGTGTCTTCCTCCAACGTCCTGTCTCACTCAGAGGTCTACCTGTAATTATGATTTCCTTGAGTGCTTTCTTAATCAGAGCCCTTTCTTCTTGCTATTGCCAACCTTGGTTCAAAGAAATACCTAGCTTCAGTTGTCTGTGCTCCAGTGTCCCATTGTTATCTCCGTGTGGACCCCTTACTCTGAGAAAGTCAGGGTAGTTTTTTAATGAGAGTTTCAGTCCTGGTTGTGCTCCTGGCAACTTACAGTGAGTCCGATTTAATCTTCACAACATTTGGCAGACTTTCCTCACCCAGTGGGGTTTGTAACAGGTATCTCCTGGTTTTCTTGAAGACATATTTACATTTCTATGTTGTCCCCTCTCTCCCCCTCCCACCTTATTGTTTTGGAGGAATTTTGATGGGAAAAGGAGGAAATGACATCTCTATTTCACCATTTTCAGATCTGTAAGTTATGCTCATTCCATTTCACTATCGTGTGGTTATTATTTTGTAGTGTATATAATATTTTTCAAGTGTCTCACTATTAGCAGCACTTGGATTGTTTAAACATTTTGAATATTCTAAGTAGTATTCTCAGGAGCTTAATACACAATTTCTTGCACACAGGTTCTAAGATTCTGTAGGGCAGAACTTCTAGCTCAGAAGGTACTTGCATTTTTAATTTTACTACTATTGCAGTATTACTCTCGAGTTTTACTGGACATTTTCACAATGGGACTAACCATGAATAAGAATACAATCATCCCTATATTCCAACCAATAGTTCTCATTAGTAGACTTTTGTTTGCCAAGTTCCTGAATGATAGCTCGCTCATTAGCAACCTACAATATGCGGATGACATAACCTGGCTTGCTGAAAGTGAAGATGACTTGAAGCCTTGACTGATGAAGATCAAAGAGTATAACCTTCAGTTGGACTGCCCCTCAACATTAAGAAAACCAATATCATCACGACTGAACCAATACGCCTCATCAGGATAAAAAGAGAAAAGACTGAAGTCAAGCACTTCATTTTACTAGGCTCCACAATCAACACATGGACCCAGCAGCCAAGAAATCAAACGACACGCTGTATGGGCAAATCTGCTGCAAAAGACTTTTTTTTTTAAGTAATGAAAATCAAAGATGTTACTTTGAGGACTAAGGCGAGTTGTGGTATTTTCAATCACCTCATATGCACGTGTGAAAGCGGCACAATGAATAAGGAGGACCAAGAAGAATGGAGGCATTTGAATTATGGTGTTGACATAGCATATTGAACAGACCTCAG